GTTGGCAATGCGCACGTCAATTTGTGTAATATTAATCGACAAATATTATCATTTTGATAGTATTTGTGCTATAATATTTCACCAATTGACCGACTTGCGCAACTTGATACAATAAAATTACCTTTTAATTCACGATAATTGACAAAATTTAGAATTAGGATATCTGAATTGATACCTATTTTTTTATAATATATAAATAGTAATCTGCGAATGTAATCTCTCGCTAGTGTGCAGAGGGGGGGGGTGCTTAGTCATTGTAACCCAATTTTTATTATGGATGGATCTATTTTATGTTAAACTAATTATATTACATAGGGTTTGCGCATATATATGTATAGGCAGAAGAATAAGCTCAACTCATCTAAATTATATTTTTAAACTATAAATACTTAGCAGGATAAAATAAAAATTCACTCGCTAAAATGCCCAGAATGATAAAGCGGCTATAATAATGATATACATTAGAATATTTACTCAGGTTAGACATGCACAGGTAGAAATTATTAGACCGTGATTTAAAATTTGACACAAATTTTTTAAAAATATTTTTTGCCCGGTCTAGATATTTTAAATTGTAGACCCGTGGTTTAGACAGGAAATTTGTTTTAATTTTTTTTCTACGGAAAAATTATTATAAATATGAGCAGTATAAATTTCCCGATCCTGGCAGTCTGCTGGTCCCATTTATCATATAATATATACGTTCCTTACTTCATTATTATATAACTTTTGGAATGCTCTGCTCTGCATCCAAATTCAGTTTATTTTTATTTCCTTATTTCCTCAAATATTATACATTTTCGATTCGATTATTATATTTTTTCGCTTTTAAAATAAAATAATATTACGATTAAAAAATCCAGACATAATATAACTAATAAAATATTCATAAGTTAATTATACGTAGTGATATATTAAAATATCTCATTAAATTAAAATACATTACATACAAATATTGGAATATTATTAGGCTTTGAACTCTAATTTTTTTTTCCTTATTCTTTTATCTTTTTTTTGAAGTATAATTTTAATTTTGTTTCTATTCTTTATCATATTCTTGTTTAATCTAATCAGGCAAAAATGGTTAAGCCAATATATGGCGAAAAGAATATAAGTGCTATAGTAACCTAATATTTTAAGCGTGTGTACAGCTACCACCTACTTCTAAGCAGTATAAACGTTTTTGTTTTTTTGACTTAGTAACTCTGACCTTTTTAAAAAATTAATGTCATCAGATTGTGTAAACTAGAAACCTGCCCGAATCCAACCCGCCTGAAGTCAGATTGGACACCTGATTTTTTTTAACACTTCATTAAAATTAAAAAAACCTTTGTAATTTTTATCAAGTATCGTGCTCAGGATTCAGGGAAATTTATTTTTTGGCATTCAAATAAATTTTTGATATTCTTTCAGGAATTAACAATTTTATTTTTATATATTTATATTTATTTTTAAATTTTAATTATAATTTCGGGCCTGACCAGACCTCGCTAAAAAAAATCATATGGATCGAAAACTTTTCTTGGACTGTCTATGATTGTTCACACCATTAAGCCAATATGGAAATCAATATAATATACTTAGGGCCTCAAATTCTTAGTACATAATGTATATTTTAACGAGTTTACATTACAATATTATCCAATAATTTTTAATTAAAATTTTAACAATTAAACTGACACTTTATTTTATTTTTTAAATTGTATGTTTTTATAAATAGAACCTAAAAAATCCCTCATGAATTATTATACCTTTGCCTTTATATAATAATGAATAAATAAATTCTAGTACAACTTTTCGTCATTGCAATCCTTTCTTAAAAAAAATTTAAATAAATACGAATTACTAATATTTATTCTAGTAGTATGATTTTATATCGATACGATACATACAATGTTAAAAATCGATAACTATCCATCATAACATTATAATATATTTGAGACAGCAAAATTCCATATTATTTTTGTCATTTTTATTATTAAGAAGTAGACAATTTTAATTTTTGCATTTTTAAAGGATTGTAAATAGAAATGTAGGTTCGAAATGTTTTTGTCACAAATATTGTCGGTGGTGCTTAGGTATAAAGATTATCGGTTCGAATATATTTTTTATTCAAAATTAGGCTCATAGTATAAATATATGAGATAATGAGAAATATAAGAGATTATGGGTCGCCATTTTTATCAAAAATGAAAAAAAGGTTAAAATAATTTTTTTTTAAACAAAAATTTTTTTAAATTAATTTATAAATAGTAGTGTTGTAAACGCGTTCGTGAACGAAGTTCGCTTTTTTGAAAAAAATGATGAACGGCGTTCCTTTTATTTTTGACGAACTTTGAACTTGAACGCGTTCCTTTTTTATGACGAACGCGTTCGAATTTAACGTTCGTTCAATTTAAAAAATACTTTTTATTTTTATTCATTTGAAAAATTTAATATTTCCGAATTTTTTTAAAAGATGTATTATTTATATTTTTTAATCGGCTGTGTATTTCCTTTTCACATTTCAATTTTTTTAACACATAGTTTATTAATTGAATATTATTGTTTATATTTTAATTTAATAGATTAGCATAAGCATGGATATTATTATTTAATCCTCATAATCTGATTCTGAAAATCCAAAATCAGATGAATTATCATTACTATGGCCAAATATGATAAATGTTTTACATTAACATCTTATATTGAAGAAGCTTTAACATCCTATATTGAAGGAGCTAATCCAATGCTAACCTGTAAAATGTGGCCAAAAAGTATTATATTGTCAAAATCTTCAGGTTCCAATTTAAAACGACATTTGATTTTATATGATATAACTAAGTTAAATCATTAAATTTGAAGAAATAATGCATTTGGGATATTTGACCCAAACAATAACGATAGTTATTTTAAAACTAAAAAAAATTAGTGGCCTCAAATATGGTTAACCATTGATAGACGCCGTGCTAAATGGGATTAATAAAAGATATTAAACCTCTCACTCTCAATTAATTACATATATTTTATTTTTTTAAAGATTTGAACATATATATAAGGATCAATATGTTCTTTCTGCAATTATACATCCAGCATCTAAACATCAATAGACAAAACTTCCACAGAACGAACCTATTAAAATAAACTTATAGCCTTATACAAAAAAATGCTTTGAAAACCCTAGAGAACTGTTAATTTCGAGATATCCTTTTTTTTTGTCTAGAGTAGAAAATGGATTGGAGGAGGATAACTTATCTCAATTTTTTGCAAATAACAAAACAATATGTTTTTATTTAATTCTGCACGTTAAAAGAGCTGTTTATTAAGTATAATACCGCAATCCCCTCATCTGCCCCTGTAGAGCGCGTTTTTAGGCTAATGCCGTATTAACTGCCAAGTGTTCTTGTCTATCAGATAAATATTTTGAAAACAATTGTTATTAAAATTTAATAAGAAAAATTTTTTATAAATAAAAATATCTTTTTATTCGCTTTATTATATTTTATTTATAATTATATTATCAAAATAATTATTTTTTAACATGGCTAAAATATATTGTATTAAAAAATATGTTTATTTATATTAAATTTAATTTTAAAAAAATTTATCATAAAATTTTGAACGGTTTTATGAACGTGAACGCGTTCCTTTTTTTTTTAACTTGAACATGAACGCGTTTTTTGTCAATGAACGTTGAACGCGAACGCTTTCGATTTTTGTCAATAAACGTTGAACGCGAACGCGTTCGATTTTTTTAGAAATGTTTACAGCACTAATAAATAGTCAAATAATAGAAATTTTTTATGTCTTTAAATGGCTAAAACTCTCTTCAAGTTTCAGCGTATAACTTTTTTAAAGTCCATTCAATAGTTGGTATCTTTAATATTTATGAGGAATATGCAAATTTAACTAGTTTTTTTAAAAAAAAGTTACTTAGAATTCTAAAATAAATGGAATATTCTCAATTTTTATATTTAAAAATTCCAGCTATTAAATAAATATACAAAAGAAAAATATAGGTGAAAAGTTAATAAGATATATCTATCATAACTATCCATACGATAACAACAACCACGAAAACCTATATAACTGTCACTAATAACGTCGATTATTTTATTAACTTAATAATTTTTTTAATTTGATCTATTTATGAGGCTTGGTCTGGGTTCTTTAATACTTAATATTTAGCTCTCCCTCGCCTAGATTTTTTAAAATCATACCATCTTACGACTTCAGGTCGGGCTTGCAGGTTTCTGAAAAATATCTTTAATAATTTATTTTTCCCAAAAGTCTCCTTCTGTATGGTATCTCTTTTATTATGGTCTAAATTTGACCTTTCCCTTTTCTTCGTTTTTGATTTAAAACTTTTCCTTTTCTGGTTTAAAATAAAACCTTATAACTAATATTTAAAAAAAAACAATATTTTTTATACCTGTAATTATTATCTATTTTTTATTATAAAATCAATAATAATCATCAAAATTTCATATCAATAATAAGTAAAGTATAAATATGAATATTTTAAAATATTCATAAAAACTCCCAATTCTTGTTTCTTTTTGAATGAATGAACAAATTATTTCAAAATTATTTTTTAATATGATTATGAAATATTCTGCCACAGAAACGGTAAACTTTTATTATTATTTGGAAATGACTATAATAAGCGATATTATTTTATTTTGGACTTTTATCTATTATTATAATTTTAATTACTATATTTTAAAACTCTATTTTCCTTTTATTAACTTTTTTTATCAAGGCACCAGAAATTTAAAACTTTGAATCTGGAAAATATTATAAATTATAAAATATGGTCTAAAATCAAAATGATTAAACAGCGTGAAAACATTATTTTCTTATTTCTAATTTCCTTCAGAGCTTTAAAATAAAAAATCTTATGGTTCATATTTTATTTAATATCAATCCGATTATGGATTAATTTTTTCATAATTCTTATATAATATCATCATTGATAGATTTAACTTACTCATTTATTTTTATCTTAAAAAAATTAATAGCTGATTTATATTCTTTCAAGACTGGATCTTTACAAAGCGAAGAAGAAAAAGGACGTTTAACTGAAAGTCGGTTAATTTGCAAGGGTTTGTAATATATTTTTTACTTTCATTTAATTATCATTCTATATAACTATTATTTTCGTAGTGTAAATAAATCTGGATTCTTTTCGCAACGCTCATTTTTATTAAAGTCTTAGCATTGGCCACCTGGTTATATTATAATTGAGAAGCACCTTTATTAGATTAAAGTAGTGTTATATCTTAAAAATCGAACGCGTTCAAGTTCAACTTCATCTTCAAAAAAAGGAACGCGTTCACGTTCGTTCAAAACTTAGTGAATAATTTTTTCCTAAAAATTTAATTTAATATAAATAAATAGCACATTTTTTAGCACAATATATTAACCATGATTAAAATTAAACTTCTATATATCATATAAAATATATAAATTTATAATACTTTAAATTATGTTCAATTATTAAAATATAAAACCCTTGACAAAAACTTAAAAATAAAACGAAATTTCAAATAATCACACTAAATAAATTTTAAAAGATGTTATATTAACTATTTTATATCTATATCTATTTAATATTTAATGATTTTTACTTTATGGTATCTAAATCTATTTTATAATCATAATAATTTAATAAGCCTATGAAATACAACAATCTAAAATAAATTTATATTTAAAATAATAATTATTACAATCAAGTATCTCTTTAAATTAGAAGATTTTGAAACTTATATTATACTTTTTGGGCACATTTTATACTGTAAAGATGGATTAGTTTATTTAATATATGATGTTACTGTAAATTATTTATTATATTTTGGCCAGGGTTTCATCAGATGATGATGATAAAATAACAATATTCATGCTCGCTAATCTATAAATAATAATATTCATATTAATAAACTATATTATAGGACAGAAATAGTGGCTGGCTAAGAAAAACTCAAATGAGGGAAGCAGCTAATTAAAAAATAATTTAAAAAAAAAAAATTCGGATTAATATTAAATTAATACTTTTTATTTTAAAATGAATATAAATAAGATTTTATAAAATTAAACGAACGTAACGCGTTCGTCAAAAAAAAAGAAACGCGTTTCACGTTCAAGGTTTGTCAAAAATAAAAGGAACGCGTTCATTATTTTTTCAAAAAAAACAAACTTCGTTCACGAACGCGTTCATAGCTTTATATTATTTTGCTATCCTAAATATTTTCATTTTAAGTGAGGTCGTTTTATATATTTTACCCGTTTAGAAAATCCGGACTAGCTCTTCATTACCATAAATTATATAGGATTAAAAAAAATTATCATTATCTTTTGATATTTTCTATCATTCTTATATTGTTAATTATTTATAATGTAGTTTCTGCAGCACTGAACGGAAATTCAGATGATCGCCATATCACTCACACCACAAGCTGCATCTCGAAAAATAACAATGGCAGTTTATCGCCTCCCTCAGATTTTTGTTACAGACATTTGAACCCACTATCTCTCGCCAATCGCTGCGATAGCAAAAATCTTGGCTTAAACGTGATCGACAGACAAAGCAGTAACAGTCGTAGCAGTCATTTACCGGTTATGCGAGAACCGGCCTCTCCCACTACCTCAAACGGTGGATCTGAACAAAAACAAGCCAATATTCCATCTCCTCTTCCGCTTCGTTATCATAGTTTATCCAATCCAGGATCTGGAAGAGGTACAGCTCAAACTTTGCCATTGGAGGGAGAAGAAAAAAAGAGAGAAGAGAGAGAAAGACACAATTATCTGGTTTCAATGGAAAGGGGAGAGCATTCTAGCGATTTTGAAGAGGCTGCGGAGTGTAAGGTGGAAGAAGAGGAAGAGGAAGACGAGGAGGAAGCTTGGAGAAGGATGATGATGTTGTACGCCGGAAGTTCTTCTAGTGCCGCTTTTGCCTCTCATCATCATCAAATGCCCACTGATAGGGGTGAAATTGAAAAGGAAACTGTCAAGGATATTTCTAAATGTTGTGACCAGCCATCCGTTTCTATGGTACGTTAGGTCACAATATTCCTTTTTTTGTATTTTTTTTAGTAACTCGATTTTTTTTCTCACTTTTTAGTTTTATCTAATGGCTAAATCACATAAAATAGTTCAAACTTTGAACCATCGCTTAAAACGGAATCACTTCAAAGTATTGATCAAAAATTACATATTATTCTAAATTTAATAATCTACATATCTCAATTTTTAAAAAAATAAGCTCAGGTGAGCTCAAAGCACTCCGACATTTTTATAAGGTACCAAAACTTAACTATTTACTATATGGCGAATTCTCACCTTCTAGGATGAGCAATTAAACGGTTTTTAACTCCTCTATTGAATGTCTATTTTGGTTACTTTCAGAGTTGGGCTACAGGAATGGCGCTCCTAGAGCGCCGCTACACTTTTTCAAAAAAAAATTTTAAAGGAGCGGCTGGAACTAGCTCTTTTTTAGGGCTGGAGTAAAGGAGTGCCGCTCCACTGCTCTTTTAAATTAATGTATAAATTAAATTATATTTTAAATAATAATAAATCTATTTATTTGTTAATTAAAATTCAATAAAAATGAAATTATTTTATTAAATTTATGCAATATTAAGTGTTAAGCCAATTTTTATATTTTTTCATCTAATCAGTTAAAATATAAACATCAAGTTTCTTTCTTTTTATATTGGAAAATCTTGTAAGTCATATTAATATTCATTTTATAGATATATGATAATAAATAGTTTTTGATATTATGGATCCAGACATCATAGAAGAAGAAATCGAAATAAAAAATAAATTATCTATTTCTATAACTTTATTGCAGATTTTCACATGTTTAATGATGAAAATATCATTGGGGCTATTATCCATCCTGCATTCAAATTAAAATGGAAATGGATAAAAAATATACAAAATATGGAACTAAAATACAAATTAATTAATTTTTTAAGAAAACAAATTCCTGATGCAAAAATAGCTATTAATTCACCTGTCCAGCAATGATTTGGAAGATTTTTTTGGATTCCATGAAATTGATCATCAGGAAGATAATATATTTGACAAATATTTTTTAAATAATGTTATCTAAATCACTACTTTTGGTAAATTTCCTGAATGAAAAAAATATTTTTATAAAATACAATACCCCGCTTCCCTCTAGTGCTCCTGTTAAGCGCCTGTTTAGTATTGTTAAACAGGTTTTCGGGGAGCTTGGATGTTTGTTAGATTCAAATTTAGAAAATTTATTACTTTTAATATAATTTTGTTTAGTGTACTTTCTAAAAAAAATGAAAGGAGCGGGTATGGTATGGCACTCCATTACTTGGAGCGGGAGCTAGCTACTTTTAAAAAGGAGCGTTAACAACTGGTTACTATAAACATGGCTTGAAGCTATTTATCGAATTGGTAAAGGGTAGTGAAGCAATTTTGGCTAAAGAATAGTATATAATTGTAAATTAATTTTAAAATAAAAATTGGTATACATACACGCTAGAATTTTAATGAACTTATTTATTATTTTTTGAATCATTTTAAAAAAAAAATTTTCGAAAAAATTAAAACAATTAAAATTTATGAGCTTACAGTAGCGTAGACAAGGGAGAGGGTTGAACCGTATATGGAAAATATGTAGATACAAAAAAAATCATATTACTTTTATATTGATATCTAGCTTAAAATTTATCATAATTTCTTTTGAATTCATAGAACATCCCTCCTTATTTTATTTCTATAAAATCATCTCAGAAATCTCCTCTTCTATTTAAAAGAATGTTTAAAAAAATTCTAAGAATCTACGAATAAACAATATACTTTAGACTAGGGTGGCAAGTCGGTCAATTGACCAGTCAAATTCAGTCAATTGTCCGGAGGGGTATTTGACCTGTCAAATACGGTTAAATACTCTAAAAAAATTTAAGGAAAAATATGTTTAAAAAATGGAAAAACAATGTAAATACATGTGATCACAGTGTTTGCTTATTTTTTGTGTCCACAATATCAAGAGGAGAACTCACTAGTAGTGAAATTTATGAAGTATGTGATATAATTCAAGAATTAGCTATTTTACAAGGAGTGATGACCAAAATATTTTAAGTGATATAATTAATTTCAGAAGTAAAAACAGCATGTTTAATATAGCAAATTATGTGGAAAGTAGTAATTTCCAGAAACAATCAATTCCGACCTCTAGATAGATTAAACTTTGTCCACCCTGCTCATTAAAAGACTAACAATTCCTAGTTCTACTTCTTCTTTAGAAAGAAATAGGTCGATTTGGGTTAATATTCTTTAAAAATAGAAATTGATTGAAGATCTAAGACATCAGGAAAATTGATTAAAAAATATTAAAGAAAATGATAATATTGAATATGAATCAGAACAAAACTCTGCTACAGATAGTTACACGTTAGTTAGTGAATGACAATGAATTTAAAAAATTAATATTGTAGATTCATTTTACTATTATATTTAAAATACTTTAAAAAACATATATTTGAATTTGACCGGTCAAATGCACAACCCTGCTTTAGACACATTTGATTTGGCAATCAAATTTTTGCAATATATTTGTTATTATATATTATATTTAAAAAAACTTAGAAAAGGGCTTCCCAGAGACGCTATAATTCTTATGGGTTCGGCGTTTGATCTTTTTTATTTTCAATTTTAAAAACACATTTGATATTTACTTTACTAAACAATCGCTCAATTAGCGCTTGAGACTAAAAAATCTATTATAATCGTTTTCAATTTCAGTAACCAATCTATCTTATTTTGATATCACACTTTCCAAAGATGCCACAAGTCTATTTATTACGAAATTATAAGAGTATCAAAGCTACAGCCAGAGACATTGAATTTTATATTTTGAAATATGATAAAAAGTTGATTTTTTTTATAATGATATTAGTAATTTTTTTTAGATTGTTCATATTTAAGTTTTTATTATAATTGCTTTTGTACTTCTAGATTCTTCTTTTTCTTTCTATCTTAATCTTGATATGAGTTTTAGATTTTCGTATTCTAATAACCTTTTAACCTATTACTTAACAAATGGATTGGATATTAAACTAAAAATAATATTTAAGCATTACATATTGGCCTAAGCTTTAAAGTTAGTGCTTTCAAAATTTGATTGCTTAGGAGACTCTGATTCATATCAAATTTTTTAAAATATAGTTCGATTCAAAATATTATGAGATTTAAAAATATCTTAAATAACCGAAAAGAACGAATAATATCTATAACGATCATTAATCATAAACTTAAAAATTTGAATCGGGGAAACCCTAATGCATTTAGAGATAATTGATTTTTGAATCGTCATATAAATCCGATATTTAAGACTCAGCCTAAGGCGTGCCTTTATTTTTACTTTAAGCACTAGTCAAGCATTACATTTTAGATCACCAAGAAATTTAGTGCTTCTATGATTCTCTTTTTAGCATAATGCCAATCTTGGATTTTTTTTTCTTTAAGATATCTACCTAACGGGTTGAAGCACTAAAATGATTAAATACGGACTATTATTGTATAAATTTCGAGTTAATGCTTTTAGAAGTTTGATTGACTTCACTCTTCAAGCGTGATTCATAATCTTTATTTGTTTTGTAATTCAGTTACTTTTTTTAGTATTAAATATTTAGTTATTCTATATTTTCTATTCTAGCACGGGAAAATGGACATTTGAAGGCGAAGCTCTTACAAAAAATTTATACCCCCTCCCCCCACTTACATTTGTTGACTACTCTACTATGAACTTATCTACATTTTCCATTGCAACAAATAATAAAAAATATATATCATTCAAGGTAGATTTAATCTTCATAACTATTTTTTAATCGCATCTTTCTTTTTAAGACCTTCTTTATCTCCCCAAAAATGTAATATATCATTATAAACAATAATTTATAAAAATGAAAATAATCTTTTTTATTCGTATCAATAATATATACATATATACACTTATAGATTGGCGATTCATTAATTAAAAGTGTACCTACATCGGATTAGCTTCACATAACTAATTGTCTTATTTATTATTATATGAATGCACATTAATGTCATTTAATCGAAGTGCAAACTACAAAATGGCATTATAATTGACTCCTATGTATTGACACTTTTAAATTCATGTAATTAATGAATCCGCAATCTAGTAGTATATGTACATCATTGATTCGTATACAATAGTGTAAAAAAAGCATGCTTGATTGTGAAACACTCAAAATACCTAATTTAAAAATTAATCATAAAGGAAATAAAAATAATGTTAATTTTTTTAAATAAACTCAATATAACATAAGATAAAATTTTTGTAAAAATTAATAATTTTCAATAAAATATTGGTAGATTATATTTAAGATGACTGTGATATTGAAAAATTTTAATGTTTTACATATTTATTGTTTGGACCGATGCTACCATATATGATTATAATACAATATAAAATTAATAAAATCATTGTTTTCTAGTAGCGTCGCCTCAGTCGCTATAGGCGTTGATTGAGATCACTTTATATTTCGACCTGAATTTGAATCTATTCTATTTTGAATTTATTATTTATTTTGAATATTTACACGTATTTCACAACTAATCAGAGTTGTTAAGGAGTGGCGCTATAAAAGCGGCGCTCCTGGAGCGCCCGCCCCTCCTTTTTAAAATTGAAAAGCGAGAGCTAGCTCCTTTTAGGGCTGGAGTAGAGGAGCGCCGCTCTACCGCTCCTTTAAATTTAATTTATAAATTAAATTATTTTTTAAATATTAATAATATTTGTTAATTAAAATCAATAAAAATGAAATTTTATTTTATTTAAATTTATCCATTATTAAATATTTAGCCGAGTTTTATATTGGTTTTTTATCTAATCATTTTAAATATTATACATCAAGTTTTTCCTTTTTATATTGAAAATTTTTGGAAAAATCTTGCAAGTCATATTAATATTCATTTTATAGATATATAATAAAAAATAGTTTTAGATATTATGAATTTAGAGATCATAGACGAAGAAATTGAATTTCCCCATCATACAAAAAATATTTTAAACTACTAAAAGATGTTGATCCAAATGATCAAACAAATTTAAGGGCAAAATGCCTTATAAAACTATTTAATTTTCAAAAGTGAGCAGCTTCTATAAAAAGGCATCTAAAAGTAAAAAATCTTTCTTTTAAATATAAAATGATTTGGAAGATTTTTTTGGATTCCATGAAATTGTTCATCAGGAAGATATTGGATAAATATTTTTTAAATAATGATACCAAATTACTATTTGATAAATTCCCTGAATTAAAAAATATCTTTATAAAATACAATACCCCGCTTCCCTCAGTGCTCCTGTGGAGCGCCTATTTAGTATTGCAAAAGAGGTCTTAGGGGAGAGGCGTGGATGTTTGTTAGATTCTAATTTAGAAAATTTATTACTTTTAAAAGCTAATAAAAGGTTATAAATATTTTGATATATCATTTAATATAAATAAAACCTTTTGATATAAAATATGATTTTGTTTCGTGTACCTACTAAAAAAATGAAAATCAAAGGAGCAGTTACGGGGTGGCACTAACAACTCTGCAACTAATTAATAATTTACAAGGTTGTGTACATATTGAGACTATATAATCAGTCAACCTTATTTGTATAATATATTATTAAATTAAATATGTGCAAGATTATATAAAAAATTTCAACCCCTCCCCTTCTTCTAAAAGTTGATTTAATTCCACCCCTCCCCCTTAAATTTAATGACTATAGCGTTTTGAAACTACCTTTTCTCCTATTCCCTTCAATTTTAATGACATTTAGCGGGTTTATAAATCTTATACACTTTGAAATATATTCAACTCCATAAACCATAAACATTATTTTACGCAATATGTTGCCAAACTAGCCAATGTTTTTTCAATATTTAAGCTGTTTTGCAATTATATTAATAAATTCCAATCCTTCAAAAATTTAGACTGATGGAAAAGGCATGGCAGCAGAATTTATTTTTCTTTTTAATCATTTTTATAAGTGGTAATTTCCTAATAAGAGGGTAATGATATGGTAGTATCAAGTTTTTCTTTAATTTAAATGGCAAACATTTATTGATGTATAGTCTCATGCTGTGCAGAGTATTTTTTTTAAAATATTTTTTCTTGTTTATCATATAATATTTAGGTATTGACTTGTATGCCATGTGATCGTCTTGTGCAACATTATTCTGAGGATACGTTTGAAACAACTTTATCTTCTGGAATTTGCTCAAAAACAATTAAAACTGCTCAAATTTATGATACCCAATTTTTACAATCCTCCCCTCAACAATTAATTACGCCATCTACTTCTTTTACTTCTACAATTATAACATCAACAATTACTTCCTCTATATTCACAAAATCTCATTATTTCGAATCCCCAACTTTTACTAGTGCAATGTCATCGACCTCCGAAGTATGTCTTATTTTAATATTATATCTTAATAAAAATTATTAATATTTTAGATTTTTTTACGGTTTTCGAGTTCATTTCAAACCTCACCGACGTTTCAACAATTATTACTAAATCAAATTAGTCAGGTTTTTTTTAAAATGCATTTTATAATTGTAATTGTAAAAAAATATATTGAACATTAAAATAATTGTTATATATTATTTTTGTTTCGCAAGCTACCAAATGTATTGTCCTCTTTGTCACCTCAAGATTTAGATCAAATGCATCATTTTCAACAACAACAATTGCAACAGTTTTTAATGCTTAACAGCGGACAACTCCCCGCAAACCTTCAACAGCAATTACTTTTACAAAATCAGGTAATTTATAACTAATTAATATCGTGATACTTTACTTAAATGTAAAAGAAAACTATATTATATTTGGGAGGAGATGAGTATCCGTGTTCAATGTAATAAATTAGAAAACCTTTATGAATATGTATAATTTATATTTTTATTAAAAACAAATCAATCGTAAGACATTTATCCAACAACATATGGATCAACTCCAATCCCGCATATATCAACCTTACCAACCCCAGACACTACCATCATCATCGACACTCAATACCTCAACCTCTCAATTAAACCTTTCTTTTATTAATACCGTGGCTCCTATTCCTCTTCCTGTCTCATCGTTACTATCTACCTTGTCCGTTCGACCCATTAAATCCGAACCCATAGTACAAGAATTAGCATCATCACAGCCTGTGAAATCAATGGTACTTACTCCTCTATCAATGACAAAAAGACGTATCAAGCAAGATTCTTCGATTCCTGGGTCAACAACAACTATTACCTCGATGTCCAAGAAGAAAGTAAAAGTGCCCCAATCGACATCTGCACCCTGTTCAGTGTTTAGGTCTTCTATTCCACCAGCCTCGCTCTCAACCGCTGGTTTAATCACGCCCGCTGCTGCCGCGGCAGCCGCCGCCGCTGCCGCTGCTGCTTTTTATTATCATCATCAACAACAGCAGCAAGCTCACCAATTTCATCAAGTTTCAATTTAATTATAAAAACGGGGTCTTTGGCAAGTGTTTAAACATACATATTCAACTATTTACATTTTCTTAAAAAATTAAGTTATAGATTTATATAAAAAATATTGAGTGAGCACATTACAAATGTGATGAAATTTTTTCATTCTATAAAAAAAATGCAGTTATCTAGTGCAGCTTTTATGAATTTAATTTAGATTAGAAGTGACATAAACTGGTTAGAAACAAAATTAATTACCATTCATGATATATGACCATTTGAACAGTAGCATTTACACTTCATGATGAAGGTGCGGGTTTATATACAAATAATTCCAAATAAGTGATGATAAGATTTTGTACAAAAATTACTGCGAATTATTATAGGTGAATAATCTGTTTCTCTCCACTATAGATAACTTTTAGGGGTTATGATTATTATTTATGATAAGTTGTTTATTTTACACTAGCAGCCGAGACAACATCAACAACTTCAACAATCTATTGTTAGACCCTTGTCTCCACCTCCAGCCGCTTCCCTTCCTTTTCCTTCTATCTTCAAATCTCCATCGTCATGTCACTCTTTTACTACCACAACTTGTGTATTATCGACGGCTCCATTAATATGTTCCATAAACAGAGAAGTTTCCCAGCCTACCTCATTTTACTACCCTGCCCCACCTAGCAATAGTAAAAGAGGTAATGTTGGAAGTGGACTTCAATTAAGTTCTACCCAAGAACCCTCGATCATCACAACCTCGCCTTTTCGACACACTCAAGTTTATCTTTATAATTAAATTAATTGTTACTTTATGCTATTACATCATTAATGCTCGATTACCCTAATTTTTAGCCTTTATTTTTAAATATGAAAACATTTTCATTTAAACATATGTATATTTGTTTTTTATGTTTTGATTCTTACTGGATGAGGGTTTTTAGAGCAATAAAAAATCGAAAATAAAATTTGCGAATCTCACTTAGTAAGATTTTATTCGATCTAAAACTACTTAAATGAAAATGTAATTCAAAAAATATTTTATTACACAAGTTATGACTTTTTCTCTTCATATTTTCATATATATTATATATTAAAATTATCATATTTCCTTTTTTTACAGCATTCAGAATATCATCAATTCATTTTTTGAGGATTAATATTTAGCATTTGATGGGTTTTTTTTTTCATTTTTTCAAAAAATAATGCGTTTCCGTTTAAATGAAAATCAATTTTTGAATAATTTATATTTTTATACATTATTTTATAATTAATTAAAATAATTCCAATTAATATCCATGTAACAAATATTTGAGAGGAATTTTCTTGAGATGGTATGAATTATAACAAAAAATGATAAAATACTTAGAGATCACTTAGTGACTATAATTGCGCTACAGTTTATAATTATTAATCGCTAGAGGTCAAAACTTCACTAGTAGTTAAATTTTTGTGCGAATCTGCAATTTTACGTTAAATCAGCACCATTTTTTAAAAATAAAAAGCAAACTTAAAATTATAACATTTAAACAGCTTTGAAAATGATCGAGCATACCTCGTCTTCTCTATTTTTTTATAACCTCCACACCCTTTTAAATTGAGCTATAAAAATGACAACGAATTTGAATGTAATAATAATTCAAAACTTAAAACAAGCCGACTAAAAAATAGAATGTATAGCGATGAATGCAAATAACGCCATCAAATCCTATTGACATCTATACTGTTGAATTATTTCGTCCTATAACTGATTAAATTATAAATAATTTTACCCAACAGTTTTGAGTAAATAATGAGCTTATAAAGAACGTGCAATCGAAGCATATAAATGAAATAATTATAAAAGGTATTTCTGAAAAGGCCTTGAAGATAATTTCATTGGAAAATGTTTTCAGCGACAAATTGTGACATAAATTGTCTTCATTTGCCCGTATTTACAAATATTAAATAGTCAGGAATAATATAAATACTCTCAGTGAGAAGTCTAATAAACAATGAAATAACAAGATATAATTATTCCAACTAAGCGCAATAATGTAAACAATGCTTAATATGGCTATGAAATTCCTTGACGTAATATGCACATAACAAAAATTGGGCACGTTAAAAATTAACATTTATGTTATCTTTATTTAGGACATGTAAATATTACAAAAAGCTTTTTATTATATAAATTAAAAATAAGAATAAATGAAAATCGAAATGCGATATAGATTTTATTGATCCTCTGTAAAGTCTAAAATAAGATGTCAGTATAAAAGTATAAACTAAAACTTGTTTATTATTTTCAAATAACTAACGCCCATCATTCTAAAGAAAACTCTTCCTTAATTGAAGCCATAAATATTTGGAAAACACGGATCAATGTTGACTCATCCCCCCACAACCCATAGACAGAAGAACTGGGACGCTCTAGTAGTTGCTCGCTGCGTTGAAACACTCTTATCTAGCATAAAATCTACTGACCACACTCTATTCTTCTCCCTGCTCAATGGTACTGCTGGGCATGAGTTTCTCGAGGTCATTCCTTCTGTCAATCTTCAACTTTTCAATAACTAACTTAGTCACGCCATCGGTATTCGTCTAAACTGCACCATCACCCACCCTCACATCAGTTCAGGTTGTAACTCGCCCATTGACATGAAAGGAAGACATAGTTTACATTGTCGCTCTAGCAATGGTCGATCCATCAGACATACGCAATGTAATTCGATCATCCAACATGTTGAAATTAGCTCAAATACCATACATACTAGAACCCCAGTGTGATTTTAGTTCAGACGGTAAACGTCATGACGGGATCACTCAAATTCCGTGTAGGAAACCCCAATTATTGGTATGGGACTATTCATATATAGACCACCTGGCCCCATCTAACCAAGCCCTCAACATCATTTACCAGAAGGAACAACTTAAAATCTCCAAATACACAGTAATTTCAAATGACCATTGTTTTATTCCTAACATTTCAACCACACTTGCCACCTTTGGCAAACTTGCTTTAGCATTCTTCAAAAATTTAGGATCACAAATCAGCAAACTCTCAGAAGAATCTCAAGAGGGTTTTTTCTTCGACAAAGGTTGGCATAGCTATCCTTAAAGCGAATTACATCCTCTTCAATGGTAGTTTACTAGCTAAAGAGCTATTCTAGACCCTTTCCAAAATAATTTTATTCTCTATTATAATGTTATATTGTAAATTAAATAGTTATAATATTTTATAACAATCAAATAATTATCATTTTATTTTAAAGATTCGCTAAAGCACTAATTTTTCAAATATAACATCATTTTAGTCTCCTGTTTGGTCTATTAATTAAATTTGCAAATGGAAATAAGGGAGCGGAGGGAAGTAAACATGTATTGTAACGAATACATATTTATTCGATTATTGGATATTTATGCTGTGATTTCAAATGATGGATTGTGAAGATATAGGATTATTTCTATTTCTCTTTGTAGATAACAACTGTGTAATTTATAGTGCAATATGTAGTATCTTTATATGTGCAATTAGTGTTGTTAAATGACTCGATTTTTTAAAACGGCTAACCCAAATATTACACAAACCTGGAGATTTTGCTCTAATTGGCAGAAAGGTTTGAACATCTATTTACGAAATCTCGAGACTTGCATAATATGTTTGGCTAAAATATTAAGTTAGCCGTTTTTGAAATCGAACCCTTTAACAAACTGTGCAATTAATAGAATTTTATATGTGAAATATATTATTTTATATGCGCAATGAGTATGATTTTAAATGTGCATTTCTTAAGATATAATATATTTATCGCAAAAATGTAATAGCTGCAATATAGTGTTTAATCCATCGTTTCTAGTGTTTGCAACGGTCCGGTCCCTTTTTCTAAAATGAGACCGGACCGTTAAGTCAAGTGAGACCGGACCGTGTGACCATCGGACCAGTCCGTTCGGTCCGGTCCCATCTAAAAAATTTTTTTTATTAAGCTACAAAAGTTTTATTCTGCATTAGATTTATTAAATGAAAAGTGTTAAATTACCAATATTTTAATAATATCATCAAATTATTTTTGATATATTATACCAATACAAATGCCTAATATTTCAAAAGAATATTAAAATACAAATTTATTGAATATAATTTAAATCAATTTGATTCACATATTTAATTAGTTTTTTTTGATATATATAATGTGATAGATATTTGGTTATAAAATATAAATAAATATTTTCGTTATCTTCTAAAAAATTAAAAATTATTCTATTTTTTAGCCATGATTCAAGTGTCATTATTGATTGAACGGATTCATTCTATTTCATCTTTTTTTTTATTTTATCATTAGCTAGAAACAGGGCTTCGAACCTAACCGAACCGCCAAACCGGAATGAACCGTTATGATTTTCTGAACCGTAACCTTAACCGAACCGTTATAAAGAAAATATAAAAAGAGCGAACCGAACCGTTATAAATATTTTGAACCGGTTCAAAACGGTTTTAAAAAATAATTAATTTTAAATTATTAACCTAAATTTGAAATTTTAATTTTCCGGGGAATTTTTTAAATTGGTGATTTCTTTTCAAATTAAATATTTTTATATTATCAACTAAGATATCTTAAAATCACACATAATTATTCTTGGCTAAATTAACAAGTTTATATATAAGTTATTAATAAGCTTATACTTGCTAATAATTTAGGAAAAAATTAAATAAATCTACTATTAATAACTAACATCTAATAGAAATCAAGTACTTTTTACATTCATTTTTATATTATATGGTTTTTATCTCATTATAAAAGCTTGGATCATAGAATTTAAATGACAATAAATAAAATGGTCAGCAATATTTTAATGATATGATAATTTTTTATTTATAATCATATTGTTTTTTTAAATCAGAATTCTAATATTCATTTAAGTCATTATAAATTATTTATTATTAAAATAAAATTTTTAACATTTGAAGAAAGAGAGATCGCCAGAAAACATCTTTGTAAAGCTTGGAACTTGATACAAAGTCTAAATAATCAGAATATTGAAATTCTAAATACTATGTCTACGTGTTCGCATTCGAAAGATAATTTAGATGATGATTTTGAAGATAAAGTCGCGTAAAAGTCTTAATAAGAATAATTCTCAGGGCATAGAAAATTATAATAAATGTATAGAAATAGAATATATAATTCGGTCATTTGATAATATAGAGAGATTAGAAAAAGATACTAATCTTTTGAATTATTGGGAAAATGTAAAGAAAAGTATGCCAGAACTTTATAAGTTAGCTATAAATGTGCTAGCAGTTCCAGCTATGCAGGTATCCGTAGAAAGAGCATTTTCTAGCCTTAAGTTTATACTCTCTGCGCAGAGAACTAAATTAAATCCTGAAATAGAAAATATTTTAGTCATCCGTTCTAATTCTCTTTTTAAACATAAATAGTATACCTTTTATTATATTTATGTGTTATTTTATTCATCATTGTATTTACGCATGTTTGTTTTTATCTTATTTATTTATGAAATAAAAAAAATTAATTTGTCAAATTTATATTTACTAAGTTAAATAAAAATATCTATTAGATTATCATGGTTAAATTAAATAAGAAATTATAAATTGAAAAGATTTTTCTCTAAAATTAATATATACATGGTTAATGATTAATTTTTTTTAAAATCAAATTTATAAAAACCGGAACAAACCTAAATGAACCGTTATAAATTATAAACCGAACCGAACCGATATGATTTTTTTTTAAAAACCGAAATGGAACAAAACCTTTATAAAATTTTAAACTAAAAACC